AGCCACCCAGGCGCCCCGATAATGAACATTCTTAATCAATATTTTCTGTGATTCATTGTACGCTTAGTATGTAGATTTAAGTCTTTATTTTAGGCAAGATTTTTTTTTAGGTATTTCTGTGTACTATTTGTTTTGCTCTTTTCTCCAGGAACACTTGATTAGGTATATAAATTGTAGACTGACCTTTTCTGTAATCTAGCTCAGTGTTCTTTTCTAAAATCACTTGATAACTTTTCAAAAAATACATTTTGTTTGACTTTGTGAATTTTTTTGTCCTGTTTCTGTTTTATGTTTTCTTTAATTTCCAAGTATTTGAGCATTTTACAGATAGATACCTTTTATTCATTTGTAGTTAAATTACATAGCGATCAAGCATATACACTTTGTATGATATCATTTCTTTTAATTTTACTGATGCTTGTTTTTGTGGACTAAATGTAGCCTGCCTTGATGAATGCATATTTTGCTGTTGTTGGGATGGGTGTGTCATGTAAAGTATCAGGCCAAGTTAATTGATTGTATTGTTTGTCTTTTTTTTATCTTTATGACTTTTTCTTTCTACTTGTTTTAGCACTTACTGAGTGTTGAATCTCCAGTTTTTGGATTTGTGGATTTCTAATTTATCTTTTTAAAAATTTAAATATAGTTAACATACAATATTATATTTGTTTCAGGTGTACAACATAGTGATTTGACATTTATATATAGAATGACGCTTGAACATGACTGGTTCAGACTGCTCAGGTCCACTAATACATGGATTGTTTTTGATAAATACAGTGTAGTCCTGTAAATGTATTTTCTTATGATTTTTTAATACTTTCTTTAGCTTACTTTATTGTAAGAGTACAATATATAATACATGCACAAAATATGTGTTAATCAGCTGTTCATGCTATTGGTAAGGTTTACAGTCAATAATAGGCTATTAGTACTTAAGTTTTTGTGGAGTCAAAAGTTATATGTGAATTTTTGACTGCATAGGGGTCAGTGGCCCAATCCCTCTATTGTTGAAGCATCAACTGTACATTATGAAATGATCAACGTGATAAGGCTAGCTAATATCTGTCATCATACAAAGCTTGTATAATCTTATTGATTATATGCCCTGTGCTGTACTTTACATCACTGTGACTTTTTTGTAACTGGAAGTTTGTACCTTTTAATCCCCTTCACCTATTTTGCCCTTCTTTCCCTGCTCCCTGCCCCAGGAACCAACAGTTTGTTCTCTGTATTGACGAGTCTCCTTCTGTTTTGTTTGTTCATTTTTTTTGTTTTGTTTTTACATTCCACTTTTTTTGTGAAATCACATGGTATTTATCTATCTCTATCTGACTTACTTCACTTGGCATAACACCCATTCATGTTGTCACAAATGGCAAGATTACTTTTTTTCTTTTTAATGGAAATGGAATTGCTGGATCTTATTGTAGTTCTGTTTTTAATTTTTTGAAGAACCTCTATACTGTTTTCCATAATAGCTGTACCACTTTACTTTCCCATAAACAGTGTAGGAGAGTTCTTTTTCCTGCCACATTCTTGCTAACGCTAGTTCGCTTATTATTTATTTTTAATAATAGTCATTCTGACAGGTATAAGGTGGTATCTCATTTTGGTTTTGATTTGCATTTCCCTAATGATTAAGGATGACTGTCTTTTTAAAAAATTTTTATTTATTTATTCTTTTTTTATTATGTTAATCACTGTACATTACATCATTAGTTTTTGATGTAGTGTTCCATGATTCATTGTTTGCGTATAACACTGAGTGCTCCATTCAGAACGTGCCCTCTTTAATAACCATCACCAGGCTAACCCATGCCCCCACCCCCTTCCCCTCTAGAACCATCAGTTTGTTTCTCAGGGTCCATAGTCTCTCATGGTTCAGCTCCCCCTCCAATTTCCCCCCCACTGTCTTTTTTTTTTTTTTAATAAAGATTTTATTTATTCATTTGAGACAGAGCACAAGCAGGGGGAGGGGAAGAGGGAGAGGGAGAGGGAGAAGCAGACTCCCCGCTGAGCAGGGAACCCAATGCGGGGTTTTTTCCCAGGACCCTGGGATCATGACCTGAGCTGAAGGCAGATGCTTAACCATCTGAGCCACCCAGGCACCCATGATGACTGTCTTTTTATGTGTCTGTTGCCCATCTGTATGTCCCTTTGGAAAAATGTTTATTTATGGCCTCTGCCCATTTTTTAATTGCATTTGGTTTTTTGTTTTGTTTTGTTTTTTTTTTGGTGTTGAGTTGTAGGAGTTCTTTATATATTTTGGATTCTAACCTTTTATTGGATCTCTCATTTGCAAATATTTTCTTCCATTCAGTAGGTTGCCTTTTTGTTTTGTTGATGGTTTCCTTTGCTGTGTGAAAGCTTTGTATGTTAATGCATTCCCAATAGTTTATTTTTGCTTTTGTTTTCCTTGCCAGAGGAGACGTATCTAGAAAAATGTTTCTATGGCCAGTGTCAAAGAAATTATGTTCTGTGTTCTCTCTCGCTCTCTTTTTTTGAGAGAGAGCGAGCGAGTGAGAGAGCCTGCACTCACCCACAAGCCAGGGTTTGGGGTGGGGGGGAAGGACAGAGGGAGAGGGAGAGAGAGGATCTTAAGCAGGCTCCATGCCCAGCACGGAGCTCGATGCAGGGCTTGATCTCACGACCTGAGACGAAACCAAGCATCAATGCTTAACTGACTGAGCCACCCAGGTGCCCCTCACCTATGTTCTCCTGTTGGGTTTTTATGGTTTCAGGTCTCACATTTAGATCTTTAATTCATTTTCAGTTTATTTTTGTGTATGGTGTAAACAGGTGGTCCAGTCTTACTCTTTTGCATGTAGCTGTCCAATTTTGCCAACACCATTTATTGAAGAGACTGTCGTTTTTCCATTGGCCATATAGTTGTGGGTTCATTTCTGGGTTTTCTATTCTGTTCCATTGATCTATGTGTCTATTTTTGTGCCGGTACCATACTATTTTGATTACTGTAGGTTTGTAGTATAGTTTAAAATCAGGGCATGTGATATCTCTACCTTTGTTCTTCTTTCTCAAGAATGCATGGACTATTTGGTCTTTTGTGGTTCCATACAAATTTTAGGATTATTTAAATTCTGTGAAAAATATCATTGGTATTTTGATAGGGATTGCATTGAAAATGTAGATTGCTTTGGGTGGTATGGACTTTTAACCATATTAATCCTTTGAAGATACAACAATATGTAATTTATATATATTAACAGCATATGTTAATAAAATTCTTTCATCAGCATGGTATATCTTTCCATTTATTTCTGTCATTTTTAATTTCTTTCATGAATGTGTAAGGTTTTTAGAGTACAGTTTTTTACTTCCTTGGTTAAATTTATTCTTAGGTATTATTTTTGATCCAGTTGTAAATGTATCTTCTTAATTTATCTTTTGGGGTGCCTGGGTGACTCTATCAGTTAAGCATCTGCCTTTGGCTTGGGGTCATGATCGTAGGGTCCTGGGATTGTGTTGGGCTCCCTGCTCAGTGGGGAGTCTGCTTCTCCCCCTCCCTCTGTCTCTTCCCCTCACTTGTGCTCCCTTGCTCGTTCTCAAATAAAAAAAAAATTCTTTTTCTGCTAGTTCATTATTAGTGTACAGAAATGCAACAGGTTTCCACGTATTAATTTTGTATCCTGCAGCTTTACTGAATTTATTTATTAAAAAATTTTTTTTTGCTGGATTCCTTAGGATTTTCTATATTATTGTATCATGTCATCTGCAAATAGTGACAGTTTTACTTTTAACATACCAAATTGGATACCTTTTTAAAATTTTTCTCATGTGGTTGCTGTGGCTGGTATTTCCGAGACTATGTTGAAGAAAAGTGGCAAAAGTGGGTACCCTTGCCTTGTTCTGATCTTAGGAGAAAAGCTTTCAGCTTTTCACCATTGTGTGTGATGTTAGCTATGGAATTGTCATATATGGTCTTTGTTATGGAGAAGCATGTTTCCTATATACTCACTTTGTTCAGAGTTTTTATCATACGGTTGTTGAATTTTGTCACCTTTTCTGCCTCTATTGAGATGATAGTGTGATTTTTATCCTTAGCTTTATTAATATGGTGTATAATGTTTATTGGTTTGTTGATTTTCAACCATCTTAGCATCCCTGAAAGGAATCCTACTTGATCATGGCTTCTGAGGTTTTATACAAGAGATGCTCAGTACTCTGTGTGGATATTGTTGGCAAGATGATAAAGGGTAGAGGTTTATGGGGTTGAGAGAGAGTAGGGTGACTGAGTCTACCATAGTAGCATTCTAATTTTTTTTCTTTCTCTTGATTTTTCTTTTTTCCACTTTACCTTGCATATTTCATTAACTTTATCATCTTGTTTTTCGCAGACCTATTATTTTCTTACTTTGAAGCTTTGCTATTTGGAAAATTTAATTATATAAGGTACCTCATTCAAAGAAATAACCAGATGAGTAAGTCATTGGTGAATTAGATATTTCAGGGCAGAGATTCTAAAAAAATTTTTCTCTTACTGTCAAATAGGAACCTGGATATAATGTAAATATTTCATAAAAACTTATGAGAGGAAGTACAGGATAGAGGGCTCTGGATTAGAATCCTTGGATTTAAATTTTTGTATTTTTACTCTGAGTTAATAGATACAAGATGTTTAGAACAATGCAGAACTGGTAGTAAATTTTCATAAATGTTAACTAGTATTATTTTCATTGTCATCTTTGAAGATTGTCTGGGTTGAAAAATTATAATTGAACAGTGTGTTGTGTGTGTGTGTGTGTGTGTTTGTGTATGAATGAATGTGTATGTATGGACACTACTTTTGTGTTTTTATTTTTTATTTTAAGTTTCTGAAATAGTGAAATTTAAATTGTGAAATTGCGTATCTATTTGATTTAATTATATTTAAAATATTTTGAATGTCTACTTTTTTTCTTACAACCTAGTTCATTTTTTATGTTGCTATTTGTAAATGCTATTTACTATACTGTTATTCTTTCTCTTTTCTTATGCAGGACCAAAAGATCTCAGATTGCTATAACTGAAGGTATATTTGAACTTCCAAATCTCACAATTCAAGCTACAAGAGCACAGACACTTCTGCTGCAAGCAATATATCAAAGCTGGTCTCATATTGGAAATGTCAACTCTTTATCAGTGAATGAAGCTTTGATGAATGAAGTTTTCCAAACTATAGGTGAGAACACAATCTTCTTGGCAAGTATTTGGCAAATTCTTATTAGTGGTGACTAATATTTTATTATTCAAATCCGTAAGTATAGCCTGCTGAACTTAAATTGTGTACTATATTTCTGTGCAAGTGATATTTACAGCTCCTGTGTAAAAGTCAGGATATGAGCCATTCAGTTTCATTCCCTGCCACCAATTTCTGAATGTATTTTATAGTTTCAGGAGGTTCTTTTTTACCAGCTTCTTGCACAGTTAACCCTTTTGCCATACATGGATAACTTCTGAGGGGATCAATGTAATGTGTATGTTTGAAATGATAACCAAATCAGGTATAAGTACGGTATGCTTGATTATGCTGGTAAATATGAATAAAATTCTTGATCATAATATTTTAAGCCTTGGTAAGCAAATTAATCCTTTTTTAAAAATTTAAATTCAATTAATTAACATATAGTGTATTATTAGTTCCAGAGGTAGAGTTCAGTGATTCATCAATCTTATATAATACCCGGTGCTCATTACATCACATGCCCTCCTTAATGTCCATCACCCAGTTAGCCCATCCCCCACAAATTAACCGTTTTGTGTGAAAAACATTAATTTTACACCTTGACTGAATGAGTTAACTATTAAAAATAAAAATTCTGCTTTGATGCCAGTGTAGGAGATGTTATCTTTATCTTGTCATTTATTTTGCAGGTAAACAAAAAATTTACAGAAGGTTTGCCTTTTTTTTTTTAGTTGTCTCAGTTTAAAATAATCATCTTTCTTTTGTCAGTAACACAAAAGTAGCTTTTAAAGAATATATTTTTATTAAATGTAATCATCCTTATAAATAATAACCTGTGAAATTTCTACTTCATTTGCATATGAAAATAAGACATTGGCTTTTTTGTTCTAATATGATGCTTTTGAAGGTTTTAATTTCAGACCTTACTATGGGAGAATATATTATAAATTCTAAAAAGAACAATAAAAAAAGCATTATAATCAGAGGACTTTTTTTGAAATGCCTAATGACTAATGTAAAATTTTATATAGTTGTGTGTTGTCAGGTTTTAGGATTCTGTAAAGAGTGACAAGGCAAATGTTTCATCATTTGGGGTTTATGAAAGGCCTTTAAATTCTTTGAGTCCTCTGAAATAGTGTACAAATTTTAGTGTGTGTATGAACACATAACCCTCCTCCCACACATATATACATATTTATAATCTCTTTTTAAATTGATTCTTTTATTAAATGTAGCAAATCTATCCCTCAGACAGTCTTTTGACTTAAATCTATTTTTTCTTATATTATCATAGTTATAATTAACTTTCTTTTGTTTGGCATTTGCCTCTACTACTTCTTGCATTCTTTTACTTAAAAACTGTTTTTATGATTTAGGTGTATGTCTTGGAAAGAGCATATAGCTAGATATTTTAAATGAAGTTTTATAGTCTTTTAGCTAGTAAATTTAATCCATTTAGGTTGGTGTGATTGTTTTGTGACTTTGTTTCTCTCATCTTACTGTTTATCTCTTTTTGTACTTTTTAAACTATGTTTTGTAAAAAATTGCTGTTACTTTATTTTTTCCATCTCTGCTTTTTGGAATTTGTATGTTGCTATTGAATTATTAGCTTAAAAAATAACTGCTGCTTGGGAAAAAACTTGTGGTCATTATCTTCAAAAAGTGAAAGGTTAAGGGGCGGCACCTGGGTGGCTCAGTTTTTTAAGCATCCGACTCTTGATTTTGGCTCAGGTCATGATCTCAGGGCTGTGAGATTGAGCCCCACATTGGATTCTGCACTCAGCACAGAGTCTGCTTGAGATTCTCTCTCCCCTCTCCTTCTGCTCCCCCCCCCTCCCCGCCCCACTTGGGTGCACGCGCTCTCTAAAATAAATAAGTAAATAAATAAATAAAATCTTAAAAAAAAAAAGTTAAATGTAGAGTTACCATATGACTCAGCAATTTTACTTGCAGGTATACACAGAAAATTGAAAATATATGTGCACCAAAATCTTGTACGTGAATGTTCATAGCATTATTTTTTTTGCATGTAATTATTGTTAAAAAATTTTACATATTTAAGGTATTCATATGGTTGTTTTGATATACATGGTGCAATGATTACTTACAATCAAGGTAATTAACCTATGTTTCCTCACAGTTACTATTTTTTTTAATGTGGTATGAGTACACAAAATCTGTCTTAGCAAATTTCTAGTATACAGTATTAACTATAGTCATCATGGCTGTACATCATATTTATAGGACTTACTCATTCTATATAACTGCAATTTTGTACCGTTTAACCGACATCTCATTTCCCCCATCTTCTTGCACCTGCTAACCACTGTTATTTCTCTTCTCTGCTTCTATGAATTCACCTTTTTTAGATCCCACATATAAAGGAGATCACAAAGCATTATTCTTAATAGCCAAAAGGTTGACACAACACAAATGTCTATTAACTGATGAATGGATAAACAAAAATATTCTATATCTGTACAGTGGAATATTTTTCAAATGTAAAAACGCATGCAGTACTGATACCTGCTATAATATGCAGGAACCTTGAAACACCATGCTAGGTATAAGAAGCCAGATGCAAAAAGTCACATATTATGATTCCATTTATGTGGAATGCTTACAATAGGCAAATCCATAGAGACAGAAAGTAGATTAATAGTTGCCAGAGTCTGGGGAAAAAGAGGAATGGGGAGTGACTATTAGATGGGTTTTTTTTGTTTGTTTGTTTTTTTGGGTGGTAAAAATGTTCTGGAATTAGATAGTGTTGAAATTTTTACACTTGTGAATATACTAAATTGCACATAATTGTATACATATTAAAAGGATGATATTTGTTATATTTATCTCATTCAAAAAAAACTTTTTAAATTGTTGAATATTTAAGTAGACTGCATTATTATGTGCTATGGTCTGAGTGTCTTTATGCCCCCCAATTCATATGTTGAAATTCTAATGCCCAGTATCATGGTATTAGGTAATTGGGGGCCTTTGGAAGATTATTAGATCATGAGGATGGAGTCCTTATGAAATTAATGTCTGTATAAAAGAGGCTCGTGAGTGTTCCCTTGCCCTATCAACTATGTGAGGACACGCCAAGAAGTTGGTAGTCTGCAGCCCGGAAGAGGTTTTTGCCAGAACCCGACCATGCTGGCACCTTGATCTTGGACTTTCAACCTCAGGAATGAGAAATAAATTTCTATTACTTATAGGTTGCCCAGTCTGTGGTATTTTGTTAGAGCAGCCTGAATGGACTAAGATGTTATGTTATTGCCATTCATATGGCCATAATCTTATGTGGAGTTACTGTACAAAATCTCTTCTTTTAGGTCCTTACCCATAAAGCCTACAGTGAGGCCTTCATTGGCCATAGTGTTTATCACAGTCTGAAATTATCTAATTCATTTCTTTCTTTCTTTCTTTTCCTTTTCTTTTTCTTTCTTTTCCTTTTCTTTTTCTTTCTTTTCTTTCTTTCTTGTCAAATTTCTGTTTCCAAAGTGATGTTCTCTCCAGAGCTTTTTTGGTTTACTGTCTCACAATATTAACCTACCTTTATTTAAAGTTTTTGTTTTTGTCAACTGGCTTAGATTGCCTGAAAATTCATATTAATAAGCAGGTGATGGTGTTATTTACTGTTATAATTTCCCTATTTTCTAGCCAAACTAATTCCATATTTCCTTTTCTGAATTTATCAAATGGATTGTGCTATGATAAAACATCTTATTTAAAATTTCTTACTCTGAAAATATTCTGTCCTAACAGAATACTGGCGCAGATATTACGAAATGGATCAGACAAGTAACTACAGGTTCAGTGATTCATAACCTGATGTTTTGTCATTGAGAAACCTAAAACTAGTGGAAATAATTTTTTACAGATTAGAGGAAGTGAGGAAAATGGAATCATGTTAGGAAGTTTCCCCTCTTTGCCAAGGAATTTTATTTTTTATCAAATTAAGCAGCTATAAAATTGGTAATAGATTAATTAAAAGGATCAGCTAAACCATTTTTAAAGGGCCAGGTTTCCAAGTGTCCAGTTTTCTTATATCTTTTTGCACTCCTCAGACTTATTGTTTATTATATTCTTAGTAGAGTGCTTGTAGTATTGTCTTCAAATTTTCTATCTTAAGATCCAAGAGGTACAGGGGCGCCTGGGTGGCTCAGTTGGTTAAGCGACTGCCTTCGGCTCAGGTCATGATCCTGGAGTCCCGGGATCGAGTCCCGCATCAGGCTCCCTGCTCGGCGGGGAGTCTGCTTCTCCCTCTGACCCTCCTCCGTCTCATGCTCTCTGTCTCTCATTCTCTCTGTCTCAAATAGATAAATAAAATATTTAAAAAAAAAAAAAAAGATCCAAGAGGTACATATTTAATGTGTTAAGTTTTAGCATTTTATTATCGTGCATCTGTGAGGTGTCAATAGTCAGTACTCAGCACTGTTTAATATGCTTGTTTTAAGCATGTGATCTTTTGCCTTACATCACAACTTATTCTCATTTACTACGTTAATGAAGTGGTTATGCTATGTATGTTCTTGGGCCCCTCAAACTTACATTCTCATAACGTGTGAAGTTCCATTCTATAGTTGGTTGTAAGCCAAGCACTTCTCGTCAACATTTGTGCCTCACCTTCCATCATAATCTTGTGCTTTTAGCTTACCTTCCTACTAGGCTACCTACTGTCTTGTTATTGGTAGTTAATAACCCACAGCATCCAATTTCTCTTGTCCTTCACCCTAGTGGCTTTTCCCTCTTTTTATATTGAACATATTGAACATAATTTTGGTTTGATAATGTTCTTCTGCAGTATCCTTTTTTCTTAGATGTCTATTTCTTTAACACAGTACAAGTCAACACAAGTCTTTTACTTTGGATTTAACACTATATTAATTATATTCTACTTGTTCTTCCAAAAAATGACATTCTTTTCCGCATTCATGCCTTTGCCCATGTTTACTTTCTTCCCCTATGCCAGAAACATTATACCTTGGTTTCTTTTTTTT